CCTGTCAGTTTTGGAAGACAATTTTCTTTTTTGCTTTTTAACTGCCACATATTTTAGCTGGGGAAGTTGGGAGGGGGTTGTTGTTGGAGCGGTAGAAAGTTAGTCGTAACAACATTCCATATTCAAGGACTTTTGCCTCCATCTGATGGAGACTGCCTAAAGATTGTATCCAGTTGAGTGTGAAAAGTTGATTGGACAATGTGATGAACTTGTGGGTGTGGGGCAGGGCTGTGAACTGTCAGCTGGGTGTGGAAAACCTGGAAGCTTTCAAATTCAGGTTTTCTCAGATGTGCCAACATGACATCTCTAATAAATTGGAACTTTGAGGAACCTCAGGATTCAGAGCTTTATTTTGTTGGGGGTGTTCCTTGGAACCCTGACAACAGTATTAAATAATAAATTTCTTAGATTCCTAACTACTGCAGGATCCTTGGTGCTCTCTAAGCTTGGTATTTTCTTGCAGACATTCCATTACCAAATTAGCACTGATGATGTTACCTAGCTTGATAATGAAATGGTAACAAGAAAACAGCCAATTTCAGAGAGCACCAAGGACTCCCTCAGTTCAACCCCGATCTATGAATATTCTTTTCTATTGATTTCTAACTGCATACTGCAATTATTATATATTGGTTTTAGAGAAGGATTATAATATATAGATGAATCTGCGTAATTCCACCAAGGGCATCTCTATGAAGTATTTGGAGAGGATTGTTCTGTTGATGTCTAGATGTTCTCTAGATGTATTCCTCCCAAACCCATTATTGACTTGAAAGAATAAGTCCAAACAAAATCCCAACTTGAATGAAAAGCCAGCATAATATTGAATAAGGTTTTTATAGCCTTGATGCAAAATATATGATGCATTTTGTGATGTACTTGCTTTTCAACGCACTAGTACAAAACACAGTACTAGAGAATACATTCTATTTTAAACAACAAATTCTATCTTAAATTAAACAATTTTAATTCTTAAATATGAATTAAGTAGTAAGACATTTTAACCTGAGCAAAAAAGACAAGCTTAGGAAGAGGCATGAAGGAGCAATCAAGAATTAATGACATAATTGGCTCAAATCAGTGTGTGAAATTAACAGTACTACCCATCCCCTAGTGAACAAGATTTATAAAAAAGGGGAGTGAGTTGCATTATAATAAGATGATATCATAGTCTCAGTTCCTAGGAGAATTACTTCTCCACCCTTTTCTAAGCAGGGAATTAACTGCTGAATTCATGTGGTTTGGATATGAACCATTCAAATACTGTATGGTAATAAAACACCAACAACATTGTTTTCTAACATTGCTGTTCCCTTCTTAGTCATGATTGCTTGTGTCAGTCATCCAATAAATCTGTATTAAAGACAGTGTATTCTCTTGTAAATATCTTTTTCTTTTCTCAGTAGCCATAAAGGCATCCCTTTTCTAAATATATTTACTATTACTTTCCGTTTATCATTTAAAATTGTGAAGACTTTCAGCTAGGATTAGTAAAGCATATAACTAAGAAATCAGAAACTGTAATGTTTTGTGGGTTCTCACTTTTATTTATTTACTGCAATATACTGCCCTCATATATCACAAATTTCAATGGTTTACACAGACAAAAATGTCAAGGTTGTCAGCAATAACCCATCCCAGAGCCAGGAAACACTCCTCCCTCTTCAGCTGCATGACAAAGCAGACAGCAGAGGAAATCTTACAGAACACCCTATCCATTTCCTTGGAGGCAACAGGTCAAAAAGAATCCCAGATAACCTGGCAAGTAAATGCCCTATGGAGTCAAGACTCAAGCAAATCTGAATCACTTTAGTTGCAAAATGCTGTCCTAACTAGTGAGAGGGGCCAGGGAGAAGTTTGTACATCTGGGTTCCACCCTAAGTAAGGCCACTGGATGACAGCCCATTGATGCAGTAAGGGAAGAAAGAATGTCCCATCTTTCTTATCACCATGGAGTAAGCCTGAATCATTGGCACTTACCCATCTTCAGAGGCTTTCACTCTTTGTTTTCCACCTATTCTCTAAGAATTGCTTCTGCTGTTCATCTCCAAAAAGATATTTGAAAACCAAGGGGCCGTATGGAATCAGCTAACACAAGGGTATTTAGGAGTTATTTACGGCTCCTAAATTGTCTTGAAGGGCAGCTCCATATAGAGCACATTGTGATAATCCACCTGAGAGGTAGCTAAGATGTGAGTGGCATCTCTGGTCCAGGAAAGAGTGCAATTTGTGCACAAAGCAAACCTGTGCAAAGGCTCCTCTAGTCATGGCTGCCCCTACTTCTCCTTATGTGTCAGATAAAACAATGGTAGCAGGGGTGAAATGCTCCTGGTTTGGACCGGATCACCAGATCCGGTAGCGATGGAGGCGGGTAGTTCGGAGAACCACTAGCAAAAATCCCTGCCCCCCCCCCCATGCCCAGCTGAGCCGCACAATCATCAGAGGCTTTTTTTTAACTTTTAAAAGCATTTTTTCTACAACCTCTTCCACCAAAAAAATGCTTTTAAAAGTAAAAAAAAAAGCCTCTGCTGATCAGGCAACTCAGCTTGGATCGTCAGAGGCATTTAAAAGAAAAAACCCCTTTTTTTTCTTTTAAAAGCCTCTGACGATCCAAGCTGAGTTGCCTGATCATCAGAGGCATTTAAAAGAAAAAAAGCCTCTGACGATCAGGCAACTCAGCTGGGATCGTCAGAGCCTTTTGAAAGCATTTTTTTACAACCTCTTCCCTGAAGAGGTTGTGGAAAAAATGGTTTTAAAAGTAAAAAAAAAAAAAAATTGGCCACACCCCAGTCACATTCCCCCCACCAAGCCACGCCCACAGAACCAGTAGTAATAAATTTTAGTTTTCACCACTGAATGGTAGCAATACCTTTCATATCCATATCAAATCACATATATTTGCTCCAATGCAAAACTGAGGTTTAATACATGACCACTTACATGTGCTGAGTCCAAGATTACCATGACAAGTCCCCAGTTTCCATGGAAACCATGAACTCCTGGACTGTAAATCCCCAGCTACCACAATATGAAGGTTGAAGTCTCCCAATACCCAACTGGCAACCAACCAGGTCCTGGAATCAGAGGAAGATCCAGATGGTGAGCACAGTGGCTGGTACACCAGGAAAACTCCTGGCACAACCTAGCACAAAGATAATCATACATTTTTAATAATGTAAGTATAATGGTATGTGAGCCTACTCTCAAATAAGCTATCACAATGGACCAGTTCCACCCCACATACAGTATCCAACCCTGAAATCAAGACTGATGCTAATTTCTAGAAGAGTGACATATATGTCTTGGCTTAGTTAGATTTTGATAATACAAAAATGTACCATCACCTTAGTGGCCAAAGTGTTCCAAAATGTAGGACTGATATCTTAATAATGTGACTTCAGGACCCCATCTCCAATCTTCACATGGTGCGGGGACTCAGAGCAGCCCCTCTTGGGAAGCACAGGATTGGATCACTTTGGCAGGAAAATACACAGACAGTATACACTCTATTAATATGCAGAGACCAAGCTATGTAGGATTTTAAAGGTTCAAATGAACCCTTTGAAAAGCCTGATGCAGAAGCTTATTGGTAGGTAATCAATATAACCTACTATATTGTATTGTACAACCTCCTATTGTATTGGCTGCAGGAACTAGATATGTCTAGTTCAGGGGTCAGCAACCTGTGGCTCTGGAGCCGCATGTGGCTCTTTCACCCCTCTGCTCCGGCTCCCTGTCACTCAAAATATGTGTCGCAACCGCCAATGTGTGACATCCGCCGGCATGCGATTTATTGAACTTTTCAACCCCTGGATAAATCCAAGAAAAGAAAAGTTTCAGAATTAAACAGAACGTTTAATTCAACTACATATGGTAGTTTCGTGGCCGCTCAAGAAATAGTCAGGCACAGGAAGGGTTTTGTGGCTCCCGGTGTTTTGTTTTCTGTGGGAAACGGGTCCAAATGGCTCTTTCAGTGTTTAAGGTTGCAGACCCCTGGTCTAGTTTAATGAAAAGAAGGACTAGGGGTGACATGATAGCAGTGTTCCAATATCTTAGGAGCTGCCACAAAGAAGAGGGAGTCAAGCTATTCTCCAAAGTACCTGAAGGCAGGACAAGAAGCAGTGAGTGGAAACTAATCAAGGAGAAAAGCAACCTAGAACTAAGGAGAAATGTCCTGACAGTTAGAACAATTAATCAATGGAACAACTTGCCTTCAGAAGTTGTGAATGCTCCAACACTGGAAGTTTTAAAGAAGATATTGGATAACCATTTGTCTGAAGTGGTGTAGGGTTTCCTGCCTAAGCAGGGGGTTGGACTAAAAGACCTCCAAGGTCCCTTCCAACTCTGTTATTCTGTTTTCTGTTTTTCTATCAGCAGTTGGACTGCTACATTTCAGACCACCTTGAGTTACTGAGTTACCTTCAAGGGAGCCTAATGTCAAGCATTTTGTGTAGTTCTATCAGCTAGAACTACTGCAAAATGCTTGAAGGTCATTGCTGTAAGGGCTTGACATCAAATCGATAGAAGTAACTGTGAGAAGGATCTTGGAGTCCTAGTGGACAATCACTTAAATATGAGCCAGCAGTGTGCAGCAGCTGCAAAAAAGCAGAAACAAGCACAAGCAAAAAAGTTATAAGCTAAACTGATGGTGTTCCAGAGTAACTATTCTTGTCCCAAAGGGGTTGATATTATTTTTCAAGGCAGATGTTTGGATTATTGTATTGCATCTAGTGTTCGTTCTGTTCTTTTACTGGCGTGAAGGAGAAGGGCAGTTACAAATAAAATCAAATCGAATGAATGAATGAATTTACGTCGTGTACATTTTTTCAAGTTTTACTGGAAGCTCATATTAGCTCTCGTTTGAAATGGAACCAGTTTCCTTTCCTGCTGCGCACGAAAGCTTTTTTCCTCCGCCCAGAGCATCGGTCTCCACGGCCCGCTTGGACTCGCTGGGGGAGCCGCGCATTCCGCCAACTTCACAGACGACCCTCCTCCGCCCTGTCGGTCTGTGATGCATGGTGGGCGGGCTAGAGGGAAGGAAGGAAAGCAAGCCAAAAAGCTGCCGGAGCGACTGGGTGGAGCTGCTGGCCGCGCCGCGCTTCCATCCCGAGAACCCTCGGATTCATTTCCCAGACGAAGACGAGATCCTGGCGAGTCCCGCAAGCGAGACCAGCAAGATGGTGAGGGGGCTCGGCCGACGTGGAGATGGGGGCTGGCTCTGAGGTTAGGGGACTAAGCGGATTTCTCTAAGCTCTCCTCTCTCTGTCTCCCTTGCAGCTGTGCAACCACCTCTTCATCTTCGTCGTTGTGACGGGGATCGCCCTGGGGCTCCGGACTTCGGTAAGAGATGCGTCCTCGATCGCCGCTTATCGGCGCAGCCGCCGTTAGGGGAATGATGCCTCCCAGGATTCGGCATCGGGACTGGGATGGAAAGAAAGGAGGGAGACTCCGGGGCGAATTCCAGAGCACGGCCTGCTTCAGGCCAGAGCCTCTGCTCTTGCCAGCTCTGGGAGGCGGAGGAGTCGTCCTCCCCTCACCCGAGGAAACAAAAGGGTCTTCTTGAAAAATAGAGGTTCTGCACCTAAGAGAGACAGAAATAGCTAGTTTTGCCATTTCCGTGGAGCAAAAAGTTTTGCTTTGTTGTAACGGAAAATATGTTGTACCCAGTGAGGGTTTTGTGAAAGAAAAAAAGAGAGGGGGGAGGGGGAGGGGGAGGAGAGAGAGAGAAAGTTTCTTTTCCTCCAAGAAGCCTACAATTGCAGAGTTGACAAGGATGCACAATGTTGAAGCTCTGGAACTATATCTGGGCTCTTGAGCCCCTCCAGAATACACCACCAAATATGATGTTTAATATGACAGAAGGAGGAAATGGTTGTATAGGGAAGATCATGTAATTCATTATATATAAATATAAATTGAATTACTTTTTTCCTGTCCTTAAACTACTTTTGAGAATGTAGTCCTGTGACGCTCCTAAATGTGCATGCTTCCCAGCCTCCTCACCCACATCTAAATTTTAAACCTTGCTATTAGACCATGAACATAGAGCAAAGTAATGGTAGAAAAGTCATACAGCAATTTACAAAGGCATTATTATAAACTGTCATTAATGTTTCAAACAATGCACAAAACTGTTTTGGTTTTAATTGGAGCAATGCCTTGAACCATCTTTCAAGAAGACTGTAGGGGCAGATATTTAAGTAGGTGAAAATAAAATACAAAAAAGAGGAGAGAATTAAGAGTGGGCAACAGATATAGTACCATCGTATTCAGGGCATTTTAAAAGCTCCCAAAGGTGATATAGGAGATTCAGTCAGTTCAAATCAAATTTCTCAATAACATCAAGCTTTTGCCTGTGAGTTCTATGACTGATACCCAAGTACTACATTGGCAGATCTCTCAGTCTCCTTCTATCTCTCTTTCTCTCTCCTTCCCCAATATGTATACTTACATGGAATTAATTAGAATTAATTAATGGCCAGCACATATAGTATTTCTCTCCTTTTACATGCTTGATGAGCATTCTGTAGATGACTGCTAAAAATTGCCCTAAAATACAGACAAAGCTGGTTTAGCCTCTCATCTCTGTCTTGATGTTTTCAAAAGCAAAAGAAGTGGCTGTTGAGCTCTTATTAAGTGTTGTGCATGCTAGTTTAAAATTAATGTGAAATAATTGACTACTGGCCATCTGTGTCCATATATCCAGATGGCCCATATCATTTTAATCAACTATGTGAATCCTGACTGAATCAGAAGAATCAATTTAATATAATTTATTCTGAGGAAGGGGATTCCTCCCCACCCACCCATCCCGTCCCAGTCTGTTAAAGTGAAGAAGTCTACATGTTAAAGAGATGCAAGGAAAAGCCCTCTGGGAGAAGTGCAACCAAATAAAAAACATGAAAAAAAAGTAGTTTTTATTCTATGTTCCCAGCAAATGAGTCATCCTCGTCTGGAAACAAAACGGATTATTTTAGGCTTGCAGAAATAATTTCTTATTAAATTTAAGAAATTAACTAGATAAATTATAATGACTGGAATAATGTCTGGAAGGCCTTATAAAGATGCATAAATTTATTGAAAACTTATGGATTTCCGCTTCACTATTTTATTGTATGCATATTAATAAATTACTCTTGGAAATAGGGATCAGAAATAGTGCTTGAATTCCCAGAATTAAAGCTTCCCTAAAAGTGAAGTCATTGACTAAGCACTTAATAATTGCCATAGAAAATGTTTTAAACAAACAAAATTCAAGCTGCTTCAGGCAAAGGATCAAAATATCCATTATAAAAATCTCTGGTGAGTTCCATGCTGTCCTTTACACAATTTTCCCTTCCTTTTATATTAACTGCAGAACTGTTATATTTGATATTGATCAAAGTTACATTTGTAAGGAATATTTCTTTTGTCTGGTTTATCCGAACAACTCTTTCTCACTTTGAATATGGTGGTCTTAGAGATGGCCTATGTTACAGTGGTGTAAGCAATTTTACCTCACTCTGAGATCTCCTGCTTTGGGAGTTTACCTTAAAAACATTCTAAGGATTCCTCAAAGCAATTATTGAAAAGTGCAGGTATTCTAAACTTCTGCAACTTTCTGAATTTCCCACCCTTTATTAAATTTATGTATGTTTGTATGTATGTGTTTGATTTATATCCTGCCTCGCCTCCATAAGCTCAAGACTACTTACGTAGCTGGGGTTCTCCCTTTTATCTATCCCTACAACAAAAACCATGTAAGATATGTGATCCTTAGCTTAGGGTCATTCAATGAGTTTCCATAGCTGAAGGTGGATTGGATTTGAACCCAGATCTCTCCAATCCTAAACTGACCCCTAACCATGGCATCTAATTGGCTGTTATTCTGAAGATTTCTCAAAGCAAGCAATATGGATGCTATGGTGCCACGATGAGAGGGAGCAAAGGAGCAGTGATGGAGACAAGCCAGAAAGGTGATAATTCTGCGATAGTCAGTATATATCATGTTTAGAAGGTGGTAAAAGTAGAAAGCTGAGTATCTAGCAAGTGCATATATTTGGAATTTTGAAAACAAGACACTTATGCTCAAAGGCTAGGCAGAAACAACAGTGCTGTCCATTAACAAAATGGCTGCCAAAGAGGAACAACCACGAAACGTCCGTTTCTATAAGACATTCCGATAAACCTCCCCTCTAGCCTTCTAGAATGGTCTCTAGCATCTTCTAGCACCATTTGTTTTGTCTTTTTTTGTGAGCAGCTTGCCTATACCAGCTACCAGTTTTCTTTTCTAAAAAATATTTAACAGGCCTGTTAAAGATTCAGCAACATTCTTTGAAATATATATAATATTGCTGACCAGAGCTTTATACGACAGAAATGCAACTTTCTGAAAGTTGTGTTGTTAACATAGTTAATAGTGCATAGAAAGGTCACATTTATGCCCCTGCCCCTGTTATTAGAGAGCCCAACCTCATGCAGTGATTTCATATCAACAAATTTAGCAAAAAGTATTATCTGGCAAACCTCTGTAACAAGAAAATTTCAAATCCACTGAAAGTCCTATGAACTTTAGGTTCCAGACTACTTGATTTTCTAAAGGCATGGAAGCCCAAAGAATGACTTTTGAGGAAATGCACAATAAGTGGAAGGAACTGGTATTCAGGGAAATCTGTGCCTCCTGGATGGTGTTAGATATAAGTGATACAACAGTAGCATGCAACATGGTATCTGGATTAGCAATCCTAGCTTGCATGTAATAGCATCAGCATGCTTGGGGGAATGTCTGGATTTTAGCAAGCTGGAATAAATATGCACAAACTGTTCCTTGCTATTAACAGCAAAGGCTCCATGTAGGTTGGGAGCAACTAAGGTTGAAAATGGCGTATACTCTTTATTTTACTTAAAGTATTACATACAATAAAATATTTTATTGTATGTAAAAGCCTTGGTTAACCAAAGTCATGTTACGTTATGGTGGACAATAGTGTATTTCATGGACTCATTTATTGGTAATCTAGAGTAGATGTTTTATTACAGCTTATTTTATATCAGCTATAATAGTTCCATGATATACAAATTTGGTAAAAGATAATTATTATTATAATAATAATATATGTGACTTGAAATATAAAAGGAGGATGTAGTAAAGGACATAATAAAATGAAAAAAAAAAAGAAAAACAGTATGCGATATGTTTGTGAAACTAAGAGAAAGAAGAAGGATGTAATATAATTGAATTAAAGTGGAATTGTAGATTTATTATGAATGAAAGAGCTAAAATGTATCAGAAAATATGTCTTGGTGTCATCTAGATTGTTTTGGTGTATATGAAAGAAGAAAGTATAATTTGGTAATAGTTTCCTGTTATGATTCAATGAATGGTGATACTCAAGAAAAGCAAATTCAATTTCCTCCCAACAGAATGAATGAAAGGTGGATGTAAAAAGTGGAAATGTGGTGTAAACGTTGAAATATGTTTAATAAAAATTATTTATAAAAGAAAAAGAAAGGTCCGCGAAAGGTGGATGTACGTAAGGAAGATTAACCCAGAAGTAGATTGAAAGTTAGTGAAAACTGTTACAAACACCATACAGTTTCACTAGGGGGAAGTATTAAAAATATATTTCCCTTTCTAACAGTGAGCAGGGAATAAGACAATAATGTGTGATGTCCCATTGTTGTTTAATATATTTATGAATATGGTATAAGGAACACTTATGATGTTGTGAATGTGAACATGTATGATATTTTGTATATAAATAATGCTGTATCCAAATGAAGGTAGATTATGTAATACAGGGGTGTCAAACTGGATTTCTTCGAGGGCTGGATCAGCATTGTAGTTCTCCATGGGCTGGCAGGGGGTGGGGGGGAGACTCCATGGCCTCCTGCAGCACTCTGCCGGCCAAAACCGGGCCAAAACCGGTGCCTCTGCCGGCTAAAACCTCAGAGGTCTCTATACAGCTCGTTTTTAGCTGGCAGAATGCTGCAGGAGGCTGTGGAGGCCGAAAACAGGCTGCAGGGCCCCCGCACTGGCCTGTTTTAGCCAGCAGAGGCACTGTGGGCCAATCCTTTGATATTTCCAGGCCAGCCTCGGGGACCGGATTTAAACACCCTTGAGTTTGACACCACTGATGTAATACAATAGATTATGTATCTGAAAATTAAAAGCCAAGATACTTATCTTGGACAAAAAGAATACAGTGAACAAATGCAAACAGTGAAAAACTAGAGCAAATATCTTGGTTGAATGTTTACTAAAATGGGGAAATGGACAGAGAAATGTTAAGCATTTGTTGAGGGAAAAAAATCAGGATTGGGTGGTTAGTGAGATCCTTAAAAGATGATGAGAAAAAATA